CCCCAAAACCCCAAAACCCCAAAACCCCTAATGTATAAATACATACAATAATTTGGAATATTAAATATTTTGATATCAAGTAAAATTAATTTGGTTAAAATTCCAATAAAACACTCTCCTTAAGAATTTGAAATAGCAAAAGCAAATAAAGGGATTATTGATTCCATCAAAATACTTTTGGTTTCAATTGATAATCCTTTTACTTATTAATAGGACTATAAGGATCTTTTAAATCATCATCAAATACCTTGTACTTGCCTAGACTTTTGTATTTGGAGCTAAAATCCTTTGATAAAATTTAGCCTTTCTAACTCTGTTACTGCATCTCAGTAATTTCTTGATCCTAAGCAGTTGTGTGATGCGTGCTTAGAAATACCTAAAGCTGACTCTGACTTTGGTGTCTCAGCATTTCAAGATTTTCCTTTTCCCTCATCTTAGTCTAAATCTTTGTGGCCATCTTCTTCCAGCTAATTCTGCAGCTTAGGAGATACAGATAGACTAAGGTCTGCATTGATGTTCCTATAATTATAGCTAACCATATACCCTTAAGTTTAAGTTGCAGAACTATGGCGAAGACATAAGATAATGGCAAGGAAATGAAATAAACGCATATCAAGATGATAAAAGTAGCTTGATACTATAACCCAATACCTTTAATGCCTCCTGCCAAGACTAACTATGTCCCATTTATAATAGTAACTACAGCCATAAGAGTCATAGAATCGCTGATTTATTCGACTATTAGCTTGTTCTTAGTAAAAATCGTAGAAATAGGATCTTTAAAAATAGTTATCACAAAAGCAACAATGAAGTTCATTATAATACTCCCTATTACTGTGATTTTCAAGTATATTCTTGCTTTTTTATTATTGCCTTCACCCATAGCCTTCCCTACACAGGCCAAGGCACCTTGCTAGCAGCCAAGAGATAGCATCATTATTACGAAAAAGGTATTTAGAATAACAACCTAAGCACCTGAGACATCCACACTAATAAGTCCTGCTATTATGATAAAGCACTCAAATCCTCCCCATTCTAAGCATAGCATCACAGCAGATGGAATACCGATCTTCAGGTACTCAGAGAATTCTCCAAAAGTGTCTTTAGTAAAGAAGAAAAATGAATCTCGTAGATCAGTGGCAGCCATACAGAACAGTGTTATCAGGAAAAAATTTAAAGTGTAAGAAATTAGCATTGCCAGTGAAGCCCCTTAAACACCCATTTATGCTATGTTCACTAGCAAATAACACCAAAGCATATGAAGTAAAGAAGTTGTTATCATGACAACTGTCACTAATAAATTTCTATGCATTGATATCAAATACTATCTAGTGGCATCGAATTGCCCATGAAAGAACATTCCTGGAATAATAGCATACACATATTGCTATGCAAATCTAGAAGCAGCAGGATCTTATCCTATAAATAAGAGGACTCTTTCACACATTAGAATTGAGAAAACCATAGGTATATAGCACATCAAAGTAATAATTCGTCCTCTGTTTAAATATACTCCACATTTTCTCATATTTTTGCTGCCATATGCTTGAGCGACTAAAGTACCGACACCTCCATTTAAACCTAATATCAGAGATTGGCATACTATATTCACATACATATTTCCTAAACCAACACCAGCCACCATAGCAGGATCATTTAAATGCCCAATAAAAAACATGTTAACGATCTCCATAAAGAAAATAAATGTCTATGAGAGCATTGCTGGGATAACTACTTTAGCCAGCTTTAAGAGCATTTTTCGATAAGGTGGTCGCTTTAATTATGTGTAGCTAGGGTTCTGAGTAATAGCATTCTTTGGCGTGAGATACGAATTTCCTGTGTTTTCTAAGGTCGAATATTGGAATTGAGGGGTGTGAGGGAAGTTTGGGGATCTGGGAGATATATCAAACATAAGAAGATTTCTAATATACAAGAAATATTATTAAAACCTTTATTCGTTTTGTATTGTCTTCCTGAATTTACTCTAGTTATTAAACAGGGGTTTTGGGGTTTTGGGGTTTTGGGGTTTTGGGG